TATGGAAAAAAACCTGTGGAGCTAACATTTCTGCTATATTTGTCCTCAAGAAAAGGCTCTAATGCATGGGACTGTATTTTAGGCTTGGGAAAATGATAACAAAACCCAAGCACAATCATGCACAATTCCTGTCAGGAAATTTATAAGGAAAGAAGGACCTTAATAAAACCAGGTGAAATTGATGTGTGAGGTTGTAGTTTTAGATAGTTTTAAAGAAAATATTGATAACTGAATATAGCATAGTATGCTGTAATATACTGTAATTGCGTTTCTGAGCTTTTTGTATAAATATATGATATGTTAATGTGTGTGTGGAGTCAAAATACTTGAGCATTTCTGAGGCTGAAGGGGCAATAAAGTTAAGCACAAGAGCTGACTGCAAAACAGTTTTAACTGCAAATCTGCAGCAGCTCTAATGAACTACCAATTGTGTAGCGAGTTATAACTGGTGGTTTGTTTATATTATGAAATTGAGTCTCAGAGCAGCTTCTAATCGTGAGCAGTTCCTTATTTCAGGTTGGATATGCTACAGGAAGCTTTCTTAATTTGCAAACAAGTAAATGAAGCAGGAAAAGAATAGTGCTTGTACACGTGCAATAGAAGCTTAGTATTGGCAGTAGGAAGGGATGAGGGCTGTGTAGTTGTTACCCATTTTATTCTTATGCTTGTGAAAAGCATCGTTCATTGCCATGCTTCTTGGTGTGATGGGTTGCTTGGTTAATGGTACTTTAAATTTAGATTTTGCAGGTGGGAAATTAGTTTGGAATTGATGGCAGAACATGTTACATAAAAATTGCATCTCATTAAAGTAAATACACTATATGTAATTTTATATTGATCTGTTCTGCTGTGAGTCTTGCTCAGGCCTTTTTCACCAGAAGATTCCTTGATAGTGAATCAAATTAATTGCTAAATTTGCCAGTTTGATATAAGAGGCTAAGAAAATCTCTGAAGAGGAACCAAAAGGTAGTTGAGCTGCTTAGTATTTTTGGCGGTAGATGAAAAATAGTCTGTTTCTCCCATCTCCAGAAATGAAATTTAATTTGTAAGTTCTGCTGTTAGCCAACTTTGTTTATATCTAACTTGCGTGAGGTACTAAGAAGGGATTCGAACAATGGACCTGTTCACACAACTAGCTTCCTTCCATTTGCTGTGGTTATTAACAAGAACTTTAAACATATAAATAATGCATACCCCAAAGTCTAATTTTGATACAGATCCTTTTATAGTCACCCATTAAAAGTCCCCTCATGCTACCCCATGCAATGCATTACACCCTCTATTTAAAGAGTGTTTGTAACTGGTTTTTAAAAGTAATAGCATGGGTTTTAGCCAATGTTCTCTTGTAGCTTAGCTGAAAAGTTATTTAATAAAAGAAGGTAATGCATAATAGATCCTCTGCTTCTTAAGGAAATTTAAGAAAGCTGTTCTTCCCCATGAAAGTTGTTACCACCTATATCTAGAGCTGCAACAATATGAGTAATTTGTGCAACACTATGAATGAAAATGTGACTCTTTAAAGCATTTGTTTCTGTGCTCAAATCTTAGAGACACACTGTTGTACTGCAATCACAGCTCATAACGTGCGCTTTTAAAGCCTCGGAAGAAATTGATTGTAAATATAGATGTTCCTAGCAGATGTCATGATTACTTAGAAACCTTTCAAAAATTAGATGCTGAAATTACATCAGATGCAAGTAAATGTTCTAAATGTGGTTTATGCTGCACATTCAGAAATTTTAAAACCTTACAAGAGTTGCAGTTTCTACATGAAAATGTTTGGTTTATACGTAAATACCTGGACCTACTGCTTTGTGACCTTAAATAGCTTCAAAGAAGGAAACACTTTCAGTCTACAAATAATTCATGAGGCTTTTTAATTCTATCTTGTTTTCTTAAGAAAAAGCAAAAGCCGTAAATCTTCAGTATTTTTGCCTTCCAAAATGAACTTCCAAAAGGCCTATCATGAGATAAATTCCACGTCGTTTCTACTTCTCAAAGTCTGTTAGTAGTTTGTTACAGGGTTTCTTTTTTTTGCCCTTGCTTTTCTTGAACAGGTAAAAATATGTTTCAGCAGAAGAGTCTTGAAAGCCTCATGGGTGGCCAGAATGGATTTACAGTAAATGTTATTAAAGATTTTGACTTCAACAGTCTCGTTTTTCAGTGGTTATAGTGCAAGCATGTATGTGGAGACTTTTTTTGAAGAAGTTGAAACAGTTTTGATCAATTCTGTTATGATGCTTCTGGTATACTTGTTCTACTATGTTTTGCTTTTGTTCCTAGTTATTCAGACTAATGTAAAGTTTTTAGAGTTAATTATATTACTTCAAGCAGACTATTTCTAAAATCATAGTTTATAGGACAGGGTAATTTATCAGAATTCTCATGACGCCTGCCCTACAAATACACTAGTTACTGCAGAGCATGATTTTAGTAGAACTTTGCTGTTAGTTAGCTTGTTTATTCCATGAGCATATTTGTGGGTAAATGATGTTGAAATGATATACAAGTAAAATTTCATTCCTAGTTGATGCATGTTACTGTTATGTTCAAAATAGTATGTGTGTGTATATATATATACAAATAAAATTACCCATGATGATAGAACAGAACTGTAGATCTGTGACTTGATTGCTTAGTACGGATGAGGCGGCTGTTGTGGAATAGATCAGGGTGGCAAGAGTCAAGAGGCATTTTTTAAAATCTCATTTGAGCTCAACTTAACTATAGAAATGCTTAGTGTACCTTCTGCCTTGATGATGCTTAAGGTTCTTTGAAAGCATAGCTGAGAAACAAAAATAGAGCCTTTTTTATTGTCCTCTTTCTGGTCAGACGTTCTAGGTGGGTTCATTTCCTTTTTTAGGGGTGTGAGCAATTGCTGGTATCTTACAGCTATTGAATGTATGCAAGGCTTGGAAGTAAGCTAATTGTCACTATAAACAGCTTTTACTTTTTAGAACAGTAAACTTTTATCCTCAATAAAAGAATACATTTAGTCTGTGTTCTTGGCCAAGTTTATCTCCCTTTATGTAGTTCCTGTTACTTTGAAGGCTGCAAAGGTTCTCATATGTGTAATAGTTCTAAGGAACTAAATTATACTTAAAGTGCAGACATGTCTTTATTTCTGAAGAAATAAAGTGATACATAATTGTTGTGTGGGTTTTTTTTGGTTTTTTTTTTTGTTTTTTTTTTTTCAATATCATCATCTAAGGACTTACTGAAGCAGTGGGAGACTTCTGTTCTCTTAATATTTTTTTTTCCACTTTTTTTTTTCATGAGCGCTTAGGAAGAAAGATCTTCAAACGATTTTTCTGTTTGTTTTGCTTTTCCCATTTTTTTTTCCATATTACTGAAACAAAGCTGAATAATCAAAGAAGTACCGATGGGATTAAGCAACTGTGTGAAATAAATTGATTTTTTCATGTAAAGGGTGCTTAAGTTATTAAACTTACACTTTTCATTGTAGCCAAGTGCCCTTGGGTTTGTTCCCTGCTTTCCTCACCTTCCACCTCCCTAGTAGAAAATCTAGGATGATTACATGTGGGACATTATAAATGCTTTCTCTGGGGATGTTTGCTGTGTCTTTGGCTGATAATGCTTAATATGTGGCTCTGTTAGAGGAAAGTACCCGTCCATGTGTCTGAGTGAGCTTGTAAATGTGCCTAGACACTTAGAAAAGCTTTATCAGATGACTTTTAGGTAGTCAAAGATGGGAGGAGAAAAGATCCCCTTGATTAAAGGTAGCAATCTAAGAAAACCAGCACAGAGGAACTTAAATCTTGCTTTCCCCCTCACACACACCCCTTTTTCTCTTATGTGCAGATTTGGTGTCTCGGGATATATTAGGTGTTCTAATTCACCATGGTTTATCAAAAGTTGAGAGACAATGTTGTTTGTCAGTCTCTGTAGCAAGAAAGGAAGCATCTTTTGTTATTGACATCCTTTCTCTTAGCTCTGCTCTTGCTTTTTGCCAGCTGCTCATTGTCTATACTTGCTTATTTAGTATTCACAAGGGATTTTACAAGTTCTTATCAGTTCGTTGCCACAGCACATCATTTCCTCTTGTCATCATTACTTCTTAAATTGGTGGGGGGAGGATTTGCATTACAGCTGGTGAGTGGTAGAAAACACCATCATTCATGAGTGTGTGAGTTGCAGTGTTGTTCTGCTCCTCTCCTTTGTGCGGCAGTTTGTAGTAAAGGTCACATTTCTAGTACTGACTCTGCCATGCCTTTTCCCCCCTTCTTTTCTGGGGAAGAGAAAACTTTTTTTTTTTCCTTTTCCAAAGGCTAAAAATATCCAGTCCTTCAAATCTTCTTCAAAGATAGAAGGAAGTGCAGCATAAAAATAGCCACAGCTGCAAAGGTTGACCACCTTTCTGAGTGGCTGGAGAAGGATTGGCTTGGGGTTTTTAGTGGACTTTTCTTCTAATTGTTTTTTATTTACCTACAGTTTATTCCTAATTTTTTAAATGCTCTTCAAAAACCACGAGGTATCTAATTAGACCTCAAGAACGAGCAGATGCTTTAGTATTTTCTCCTTTTGGGAAATAAAGATCTGGTTGAGAAGCTGAGTACTGCAATGCAGTACTGGCTGTGGAACTACTGGTTCTACTGTGCCACTTCCCTGTTTTTTCATAGTGAGTTTAAGTCTCCTGGTGAGGCACTGTGACAGGGATATAATATCAGTTTTAAAGCATATTCCCCAAGCCTGTCTTCTGAAGGGAAGTAATGGATTTAACGAACATTGTGAACAGAAACCATGCTGTCCCTTGACTGTCCTTTTCCCCACTAATCAATAATGCAAGAATTGGGGACACTAATCACGTTTTACTTTATTTAGCTTTGAGATGAGGTCCTAGGACTTCTGGGATTTTGTTTTGAAACAAAATCAGGTGCAGTGGCTAGTGCTGAAACAGGAATTATTTTAATATCTGCCTTTTTGTTTTACCACATTCTTTACTTGCTTATTAATTACTTGTTAACTTATCTTTTTAATAGAACTAAGTTGGAGGAATCAATCGTTTTTTCTGATGTGAAGACTTCATGACTGACATCTATATGTTCGTTTGTCAGCCTCCAAGAAATAATAGATCTCATCAGTGGCAATAACTGCTTTTGGTATATACTGACATTTATTTGAAAGGAGAGGAAAAAAAAAAACAAACCACACACATACACACACAAAAACACAAACAAAAAGAAAACCAACAGACAAAACCCAGCAAACCTTTTTGAAGACTTGTGTCAAATGACGTCAATGGCCAGTTTGTTCTCCTTTACTAGCCCAGCTGTAAAGCGTCTGTTGGGCTGGAAACAAGGAGATGAAGAGGAAAAATGGGCAGAAAAAGCTGTTGATGCTTTGGTAAAAAAGCTGAAAAAGAAAAAGGGTGCTATGGAAGAGCTGGAGAAAGCCTTGAGCAGTCCAGGACAGCCCAGCAAGTGTGTTACTATCCCTCGCTCTTTAGATGGACGACTTCAAGTTTCTCACAGAAAAGGCCTTCCCCATGTAATTTACTGTCGGGTTTGGCGCTGGCCTGATCTGCAAAGCCATCACGAGCTGAAGCCATTGGATATTTGTGAATTTCCTTTTGGATCTAAACAGAAGGAAGTCTGCATCAATCCATACCACTATAAGAGGGTGGAGAGCCCAGGTATGTTTGAACATGGCCGTCTTAAAAACTGAACAGAATCTCCAGGAGCCACATACTGTTCACTCCCTTTTCCTTTTCCAGTACTGTATAACAAATTACATTTGGTGTATAAGAGAGCTTGGAAGAGGAATTACCAAAGTATACTTTTCAGGTGGGGTTTGGGGAAGTTTTGTTGTCCGTTCTGTACTAGCTGTCTTTCTTTGTGGTAAATCACGCTTTTCCCACAGATCTCTTAAGCCTGCTACCCTTAAAGTTAGTGGCAAAATCCTCATTTGTAATAAAATAGAAAGCAGTGATGAGAAGACTTCCGTTTCTTTGAGAAACTTATTTAAAAAACTCAGTCCTTGCAAGGAGATTGGTAGCCTTCTTTCAGAGGTTTAATACCTCATCAGTGAGTGACATGAATTGAGGAGAATAAAAAAAAAAAAATTCTAACAGGTAGTGTTTCCCTCTGGACTTCCCATTGGCAAACAGCAGAGTTAAACAGAACCAAGAGTCGTGATCAGTTAGAGCAAGGTTCATAGCAAATTTGTGTCAGGTAGCAAGTCTGCAGTTAAGGCATGTTGCCGTGAGAGAAGGTGAGAAGGATTGTGGTTACAAATGGGAGGGATGAAATGTGTTGCTATGGAAAGTATAGTGAAAAGTGACATCTGTTCCACAAAATGGTTGTAACTACTGCAACCGGGTGTAGTGTTCAAGTGTCCTACTGTAGCACTTGAATTCCAGACTCGAGCACTCTTCAGTTGAAAAGTTAAAACTCCAGTTTAGCAATAGTTTTATATTGTAGTATAGATTTTATTTGTCTTCAATGAAAAGGACTATTTGTAACTATATAGTTTGTAGTAATATGGACTGTGTTTCCATTTTTACTGATTTGATAATGTCCACATACAGTGAGTCTTGTACTTCCAAATCAGTACTTTGGTATGTGCCACATGTGAACTTTTTTTTAAAAATGGACTGCTTCTAGTTGCATGAAATACAAGTGTGGGTTTGCTCTGTTTCTTTGCAAGAGTAAAGTTTGAGTAATTAAGTGTAATGTAAAAAGGTAAAGGAGAGAGGATGAGGTAAAGGACAGATGAATCCCCTGCTCTTTCCATCCCAGCTACTACTGAAACTTTCATGATGATTGGAATAGTTTATTATTTATACCTCTTTCCTTCTATCTCAGTTTTTAATCTGAATTTATCTGGTTCTTGGTTTTGTTGTTGTGTTTTTTTTTTTTTTGTTTGTTTGTTTGTTTGTTTGTTTTTTCCAGTTCTACCTCCAGTATTAGTGCCTAGACATAGTGAATTCAATCCACAGCACAGCCTACTAGTTCAGTTCAGGAACCTAAGCCACAATGAACCACATATGCCACACAACGCGACATTTCCAGATTCTTTCCAGCAACCCAACAGCACTCCATTTTCCATTTCACCGAACAGTCCCTACCCACCTTCTCCAGCCAGCAGCACTTACCCAAGCTCCCCAGCTAGCTCTGGACCATCGAGTCCGTTTCAGCTACCGGGTAAGTAGAGCCTAAATGTCAACTTAATAAAAATAATAGAAATGTCACATGCTGTTGTGACTTACTACCTCAGGAATTTGTAACACTTGCAAATAAATTGCTTTTCCATTTGCGTTTTAAGGGGTTTTCTTCCTAGTTTTTTCACTAGTCAGAGTTATTTGTTACAGTTTTATTTTTCCAAATGTTTTTTGTCATGGATGCAATAGTGATGAGTTATTTTGAACGACTTCAGTGTAGAATAACTGATACATACTTCAGAAGAATATTTAGCAGTGAAAAGAAAGAAGATGTAAGAGACTGAGCAAGAAGTTTATTGATGTCTTTCTCTGAATAAAGACACATGTGGTATTTAACTGGAAAAAATAGCAAATTTTTGATAGGTACGTATCTGGGTGAAAATAGGGAAAAAACAACAATTGATAGGGGCAAAGGAGAGAAGCCTTATTGACTCTGTCTGGTAATTAATGTGGTTTATAAAGCCAAGAAGTTCATAGATTAAAGAATTTATTTTTCCAGTAGCTCAGTGGCATCATCTTTGTTCTTTCTGGCTGCCCAATGCCGCAAAAAAGTGTCCGTTCAGTGGGATATTCCTCCTGGATAAGTACTGTGATCGCTGGGATGGACGCATTAGTGGTACCTGGAGGGAATTTCTGAAATAGGGGATAATAGCGTGTTGGTACACCAACCGCTGTGCTGGTGGAAGAATGCAGAGATCCACACTTCTATAATGAACTCTGCCTACAGAAGCAGCAAAAAAATAACTGCTTTAGGCCTTTGTTGTGCTACGGCAAATGAAGTTACTCTATTATTTCTTTTTGAACACGGAGAAGAGGGTAGGAAAGGAAGCTAATGTTTGTATGACAAGAAGTGGCAACTGTAGTCATCTTGTCCAGTTGCAGGAATGCAGCTGTTAAAGAAAAAAAGGCAGAAAGAAGAAAGCACATATCTTAGTTTTTCTCAAATGTCCAGTCTTGTTATTAGTCCCAGAGGTAAGAATCCAGTTATTGAAGGAGTTTACTGTAAAGACAGCTGGCTGGGTTGTCTTCAGGTTACTTTGCAAATGGGTCCGGATGTTTTAATCTCTTGTTCAAGAGTGTTTTTGTGTGTTTACAACTGTAGAATGAAAAAATAAATGTTCTAAGTTGTGGAGGTTTATTCTGATTTATTCTTTTTTCATGTTTGTAGCTGATACTCCACCTCCTGCATATATGCCCCCTGATGATCAAATGGGGCAGGATAATTCTCAGTCTATGGACACAAGCAATACAATGATCCCTCAAATCATGCCAAATCTATCTACCAGAGGTAAGCTGTATAGTACAATGTAAAATTAACGTATTTTTGCTTCTTAAAACTCACAAGCAATTGAACGAATAACTTCAGATGGCACAGTAGACCTTGTTGATAAGCAGAAGCAGTCCTCCAAGGCAAACTGTGGCTGTAACAGAATGAATTGAGAAATAAAACTTGCCTTGCTTATTTGCATCTCTTGCTTTTTTCAAAGCCTCAGGTGCATAGTATGGCTTACAACAAGTTGACTTTTTTTAATTTCTTAGAATTAGTCTTTTCTGCTACCTTTAGAATTGTATATGCACAAAGGTTCTGCAAATCAAGTCCCAAAATACCAATTATTACAAATCTTTAAAAAGTGGACAGAAGAATCATATTTCACCTGATATCATAGTCATTTATGTTTTTTTTTTTTTTTTTTGTGTAGTGGGTTTTCCTTTGTTTAATATCAGGCTTAAAATAGGAAAATAGTTATAAAATCAGCGAACTACCTAAAATGCATGAAAGTAAAAATCATTAAGATCTTAATCAGGGCAGCTCTTGCTCATCATAGCTGTAGACTTAGTTTTTAGTTATCTATTGATATTTTGAAGGCCTGCTTTACAGTTTTAGATTTAATATTTTAACACTTATTGTAAACTGGTATTTCCATTTTGCTTATTTTCAGATGTTCAGCCTGTTGCCTATGAAGAACCCAAACACTGGTGTTCGATTGTGTATTATGAATTAAATAATCGTGTTGGGGAGGCTTTTCATGCATCTTCTACAAGTGTCTTAGTAGATGGGTTTACAGATCCCTCCAATAATAAAAACCGGTTCTGCTTAGGTTTGCTCTCAAATGTTAATCGCAACTCGACAATTGAGAACACTAGACGACATATTGGAAAAGGTAAAGCTTAGTTGTGTTACACGTGATTAAGAAGCTAAGTCCTTGGTTTTATTTCAACTTCTATGTACTGCAACAATGATTATTCTCAGATAAGAACAGTAAAAGTAATCTGTGATATATTATCTACCTCTCCAGTATCAGAAGACAATTTAGGCACGGTTTGATTCTAATTAGGCTAGGAATTGTATACATTTTGCTTTGGCACTAATTTAAAAGATTAAATATTACCTCTTCCTTACCAAACTATATTGTCACAGGGGCTTGCTTATTATGATTAATTATAGTCTCTAGGTAGAATTTTGTATCTCAGCACCAGGAAACATTGCAGGACTTCTGTTATTCTGTGTTGATTCTAATTCTTAAATCAGTTTCTTCATACCACTTTACAGTATATCAAAGATTTTTTAATTTTATTTTGTTTTTCATGTGAGGTATTACGCTGCTGTCTACAGCATGTTCAAATATCTTGCATGAGTTGGCAGCAGAACTTTGAAGTGCTAATGCAAAGCTGCAAGGGCTCATTTGTCTGAGTGAATCCATGGGGTGTGTATGTGTGTGGGAGGGATTCCTGGAGACAGCAGGTTTTGCAAGATCTTCTAGTTTTCCTGTACTGTTTGGCTGATAGCACATATAGATGCAGTTTTCATCTTCGATGGAATGTGTTTGGACTATCTTAAAATGTAGTATTCCTTTTCTGAATGTCTCCTTTTTTTGTAACTAAGTCCTGAGAATCCAGTTTCTATTGCACATACCTACAGGCCTTTTTTTAACACCTAAGATCATTTGGTACAGCTAGTGTTTTGTTTGATCAAAGTCACTGTTGCTTGTAATATATCTTCAAGACCCATCCTGTCGCTTAACAGTTTTTTAATTAGAAAGTACTATAAATACAGCAAAAATTTGCAGATAACCTGGAGACCACAAGTTATATTAATATCTGTTGGAAACTTGGCTCTGCAATGCTGTTGTCCAAGCAAATGTAATGTTATAAAGGGGAACGATTGATTTCTGAGGTGTGGGTGGTTTGTCAGGTTCTTTTAGTTTGGCGTACCCCTTTTGATGGTTCTGGCAGAGAAATCTTGCACATCTGCCAAGAGTCAGAAATGTAACAAGGATCCATAGTCATGTTGTAGAATAGTATGGGCTGCATTGAACTTTAAAATGTCTACATCTTTAATATTCATTATTAAACTAAAACTTTGCAGTTCTGAGAGCAATTAAGATTGTTTTGGAATAAAATACTATTTATTTATGGCTTTTATTTGGAAGATCTTGGGGTTTTTTTCCTCATTAAAACTACCTGAACTTGTTTGCTCAATGTGCATTGGATTATTTTTGAAGCATCTGTGTTCTTCTCAGACTGTTGTATTATCCAGCCCCTCTCTTCAGAGACATCTTGGAAGGTCGTTACCGAAGAGAAGTTAGCTAGCAAGTGATGGTCCCTGTCTTTTTGAATAAATAGGGTTGTGCTGTGAAAATGCATTCTTGCCCATCCTGGATTTTCTGCCAGCTGCTTATACTTGATGAAACCAATGGTTCCTCTGTGTAACCTTCTTCTACCTTAGTCCCAAGTGGATGTAGCAATGTTCACAACAGTTGCTGCTGTCTGAAAGATTAACTTGCATATGTTGACTTGCTGCAACCTCATCTGGCAAACCACGGAATGGTCTGCACTGGATTCTCAGGGTATTGCAAGACTTAAACTGAACTGTATCCCAGCCCTTATAACAGTGGTGGGTGAGGGAAAGGGAGGGGATCTGGGAGGAGGAAGACCAGTATCTCAACTGAAGTAGCAGTGAGAATCTGTGTTTTGGATGCTGAACGGATCAGCAGCTTTTATATATTAATTTTTAGTCAGTAAGTGATGCATAGGCTTCAGAATATAAAGGGAGGGAAGCACATGTGTACATAGTTGAATCCAGGCAGATGTGATAAATCTAGGGACTTTGTTGGTTTTCAAGGTCTGTAAAGCCTGATGGTATTTAAGTTGGGCAACTAATTGGACTTACCTCTCCCTTTGCTTGATAAGATACACTGAAAATCAGAGCATACTATGGATATGCTTTCTCATTCACGTCTGTCACTACATCTTCTCCCAGGACACTTATTTCTGTTGGAATCGCCATAGACAGAAGCTACCAGTTTTCTAAAACTTTGAAATAACTGTTGACATGTGGAAGTAGTTTTTTCGTTCTATTCTGTAATTGATGAGAGAAGGACATCTAGTGGCTGATGTATAATGAAGCCCTCTGTATTTTCAGATGATAGTGTGTTACAGTGTGGGGAAAAGAGCTTTTCTGAAAAGCTCCTCAAACAGAAAATTTACTTTGTCTCTGATTTTGAGGGAGTTGTATTAAGTACTATATTTTTTTGAAAAAAAGTAATTTCAAACATTTTTATCTTTGTTTTCAAGGAGTTCATCTCTACTATGTTGGTGGGGAAGTCTATGCTGAGTGTTTAAGTGATAGCAGCATATTTGTACAGAGCAGGAACTGCAACTACCACCATGGCTTTCATCCAACGACTGTATGCAAGATTCCTAGTGGATGCAGTCTGAAAATTTTTAACAATCAGGAGTTCGCTCAGCTTCTAGCTCAGTCTGTCAACCACGGATTTGAAGCAGTATATGAGCTCACCAAAATGTGCACCATTCGAATGAGTTTTGTAAAGGTAAAGAAATTATTTTGAGGGCATTTAAATTTATTCTGGATTTGGGTATTCAGCAGTAATTATATTAGAGCTATAACAACGTAGCAAAGCTGTTCTGACCTTATGTGGTTCTTTTCAGTGATAAGTATGTTGAAAATGGTTAATTTGGGGAGAGGGAAATCGATGCAAGAAAGGAAAAGCATGGATCGCGGTGTTGAGTGTTGGCTGATTAGTTCTTCAGTATTCAGGACAGGGATTTAATCATTGTGGTTGCTGTAGTTTTATTAAAGGAGATTTGAGCTCATGCTCTAAATTTGAAGGAACAAAGTGAACTACAAGACTGCTGAAAGGATGTGAGTAGAGAGGAGCATAAATGATTGCAGAAAAAATTGCAACACCTTCAAGGAGTTTAATATTATTTTTTATAAAATTTGATTATGGAAAAAAGACATTATTTGAATTTATGAAGTTAAACTGTCTGTTATTCTCACAGTAGTGTTTCTCAGAAATTTTTAATCAAGATGCTGGACATTTCAGATTTAGCATGGAGTGTAGACTTGGGCCTTCCAGGGTTTTTTTTGCATCTTGTCCAAATGATGTCTTGTTTGTTTTGTCAGTTAAGATCAATACTGCTCAGTTTGAGAGCGTGGTGGATAGGGAGCAAGAGGGAGAATCAGAAGAGGGATGTGGCCATAGTCAGGAGTCATTCTTGAGTCAGCAGCATGCAGAAAAGACTTCATTCAGGCTTCCAGATGCAGCTTCCCTCCCACTCCTTGCCAACATCAGTGTTTTTTTTTTTTTTTTTTTTCTTTTAGATAAGTAATGTTGATAGATTGTGAGTTACCTTCAGATAAGTATCTCAGAACATGATTTCCTGCTTCTTGTTAGTACAGTTATTTTGGAAGACAACCATGTCCTCACCTTGATCAATAACATTTTGTTCATTTTTATAGGGCTGGGGAGCAGAATATCACCGACAAGATGTCACAAGCACCCCATGCTGGATAGAAATTCATCTTCATGGGCCCCTCCAGTGGCTGGATAAAGTACTTACACAAATGGGTTCTCCTCTTAATCCCATCTCATCTGTTTCATAGTGCTGAAATTCTACCTTCAGCCTTGTTTTTAGCGAACTTATTCTAATTGTAGAGAAACTTCCAGTGTGGATACTGTGAGCTATATGGAGAATGGATCTTACGGTTTAACTTTTTTTTTAAATCCCTTTGTGACCAATTCCATTGTGTATAGCTAATCAGTTTTACATTTCAATTTGTTCTTGTGATGCTTAAGTGACAGTTGAACCCTAATGGAAAAAAAGTCTATTGAAAAATTCAGAACACTTTTCCCCTCCTTTCCCTAGAACTTAAACAGGCATATGTCTTAACTGGAAATTTTTTTTTTTTTTTTTTTTTTTTTTTTGTCCTGTAGGGACAAGAATTATGAAGACTGACTTCAGAAAATAAATACATATCATAGTTTGGGATTTTTTTTTACTTTTATGAAACTGTTTGAACATATGCAGCTCCAGCTTACAAGCTGTATTTTCAGCATAGTTGTTTAACATCTTAAGGTTGACACCTGTCATAAGCAAAATTAGAGTTTATTATGGCTAATTTGCCTCAGATTCAGCAATGTGATTTTTTTTTTTTTTAAGTGTACACATGAAATATACTTTTTACAAATATTGGAGTGGTGTAAAAACACTTGTATTGTCTATTGGAAAATGCTGTCATAAACACACTGTATATTAATGCAGAATAGCAGTTCTTAGCCTTTTCCCACTTCAGTTTTGTAATATCTTTTTTTAACCGTTGTTTTAAATAGTAATTGATACAAGGTAAACATCTTGCACGTTTCTGGAGTAGTAATTCTTGTTTTGCTTCAATTTACACTCATGCCGTTTGGATTTGGTTGCCAAGGCTATTTCTTTTTAGGTACCCTTCTCTATTTTAACATAAACACTACTATTTGTAAATGGCAGTGCTTACTACTTTTTGGAAGGAATAAGTTTTTTGTTTTCTTTTTGGTGTTCTAGCTGTTTATTTTATCTGTCTGGAATTGATCTGTGTTAGGCCTTTTTAATCTCTCGGTAGACATTACGCAGTATTAGTGACTACACTGTATTTAATTCACTTTCAGTATGAGTTTGAGTCTCTTTGAAGACTGTGAGTGGCTTAGCAAATAAGTAACTGAATGCAGAAGCTTTTACTTCCAGATCATGTAATTTAATACAGACCTGTTGGTAATGACCAAAAGTAATCACTTCTTTGTAGTCTACATGAAACAGTGGTCTTGATCCTGTCCCTGATGGCAGGTGTTCAATCAGAAGACTTGTAACTGTAGTTGGCAGCTTTATGGGATTGAAGGACTGAAGTAATATGACAATGAAATTTCTCTCTCACATGTAAGGAATCCTCTTGCCTGTGCTGTTGTATTACTCAGAGAATTTAAACACTGTACTAAACACTAAAAGAAATCAGTTAAATAACGTATGCATATTTTTCCCCTTTAAATAATAAAGAGGCTGAAAGAAATAGCTAAGAGAATTATAAGTGAATTATATACAAAATTTCTTTGCATGCAGAAAAAGACCTATTGTATTTTTTAACATCTCACCCTCCTTTTTCTCTTTTCCGAACACCTCTTCAGAAAAGGGTTCAGTGTTTGGGGGAGAGGCTGTAAACTCTAAAATACAAATACTATTAAAAGATGTGTTGCAGTTAATTACTGCAATCCTGAGACATTGATTGCTTACACAAGTTCTTGTGTCTTCTATTGAATGACAGTTTCTGCTCAGATGTGGAAGTCATGTATCGTATGGTACCTAAGTAACAAATGATCTTAAAGGAATAAAATTGTTTACATGTCATTAAAATGTTTCTTATGAAATGCCTTAAAGGAATAAACTGTAATACTTCTGCAGAACCCTAATGTTCTCTTGTACAGGAATTTCTATATTACTTGGTGTTTTGGTTTTTGTGTTTGTTTTTTTTTTTTTTTTTTTTTAAAAAAAACAGTTTCTCAAGTGTGTTTAAAAACAAACAAGTGCATCTTCAGGAGAAGGGGAATAACATTATTTGCCGCTCACCTTTGGGGTCTTCTCTTTCATTCTTTGGAACTGCAACCCACAAATGGACCGTTTGATCGAACAAGATGCAAAGTCAGTTGGCCACAGGATCAGGCTTCTATTTTTCTTCTCCCCAGGCCTGACATTTGTCGAGTTGCTGAATATGTATATTTGACACTACAGGATATTTTTTTTTCTTGGGTAGCTTTTATAATAAATGTCATGGCACATTGGATTAAGGAAAGATCTCAGTTGTAGGTACAAGTTTTTACTTTATCCAAAATGTTTTTCACCTGGCTTCATCTCTGTTCACTTGTCTGCTTAGATGTGGCCAACTAAATGACTCAAGAGTGGGTGCTGAAGTGGGTGTTCATGAGCCAGAGCTGGTGCTTAGTGCTAGTATTGTGGTTAGATTGGCTACCCATGCACTGAACCATAATTTTTGCAATAATATCCAGTTAACCCACTTCTGATGCTGTCATTAAGTACTAAAGTACTCTGGCATTTTTCTGCTTGTGTACATATTCTTGAACTGTAATATATGCAGTGCTGGGATATCCTTGTGACTGCTGATTTTTGCCAGGTAGGCTTGCAGGAGCAGACCCAGTAAGATTTATCTATGTTCTACTCTTCTGTTCCTTTTAAGTAGGACTTTTTGAGAGCTTTCTAGTTAGCAAATTATGTGTGCTGCTGGTTCATGGTGTTTCTAATCACGTTTAGTTCATCTGTGCTGCTGATAGAGAATTCAATTATCAATGCACGGAGGGATTGGATGAGAACTGTGTGACCCTAATGATGTTTTAAGTATAGTGATGACAGAGTGTGCTGCATCTGCCACAGCATACTTGTAAGTCACTTCTTGGTCTAGATGGAGGGATGGAGAAGTTGAATCAGCCAGTAGTGTGGTAGTGGAAGATGGAGCCTTTCCAGTGTAGCCCAGCTTAGGCTGAACGTTACTCATCAGTGAAAACTGTTTTGGCTTTTCTAGTGTAAGTACTTTCCTCTTTTTGGGCATCTTTCTACTTTGCACCAACCACAGCATTAACTAACAGCTTTGGCAATACCAGCAAAGAGCCTAGAACAGGCATATACTGAAGTTCTTTCTGGGTTTGCTTTTATAGTCACTAAGATAGTAGCTTGGGTATTCCTCCTTTAGAGGGCTTCAGTCTTGTTGGCAGTCAATCCAGTGCCTTGCGTAAGTATTACGTTCATTTAGTTGCATTAGGCATGAAGTAGTTGTATGTGAAGGGATGACACTGGGTTATAGTATCATAAGGACCAAATTAAAACTTTCCAGTATGAGTGATGGATGAGAGACAAATCTAACAGAACAGCCTATTAGTCAAAAGAATGATGAAACAGCCCATGTGTTATGATTTGGCATAGAATTGTTTAAAATATTGTAATTCTTTTGGGTTTTTGCTTGAAGCGATGATTTTTATTTTACTTTTCCCCACAGTATTGCAGTACGAAAGTTGTCAATTCTTGGGCAGATACTCTTGCAGTGTAAGTCTGGAAGAACATTAAAATTTGTCAGGCTTTCTCCCTAGCTTGAAGTAATAATTTTTTTTAGGATAAAGTTTTAGTTGCCCAAAGTGATGCTAGTGATGGTTTTTAGAAAAAAAAAACAAAACAAAACAAAACAAAAAAACAACAAACAAACAAACAAAAAAAAAAAACACAGAACAAACCAGAAAATTTTCTAGATGTTTTGCTTCAAAAGACAAATGTGACTAACTTCTTTGTAGTTGTGAAGTTTCTGTTTAGGAAGGTAACCCATTCTGAATTCAAATCAATAGACCAAGCCATCAGATTACAACATAATGTTGCTTTATTGTGCTGCTCCATAAACCTGCTTCTGTGTTTGTTGCAAGCATAACCTTTATGCTTTTGTTTACATTGTAGGAAACACAGTTCTAGCAATGAGTTTTTTCATTTAACTCTAAACATCTTTTTATTTTGTTAATTTTAAAATTATTAGGTTTTGCTATGTTATGTTTTTTAAAGATATTTTTTGCATACTGCTGCTCATATTTCAATAAACAAAACAAAAAACCCACAGATTATTTTTTATTTCCTTTATCTGTAACTCAATGTGTCTCAAATATTTGTTTACAAAAGTTGATTTCTGAGTTCTTGAACTCTTGGTGCTGATGCCTTACCGTGTACATATTCTTCCTCATACAAATGCAATCTTGTAATTTAAAAAATACTTTTCTATAGCTTTTTGATTATGCAAAAGCTGCAGCGTTCTTGGAAGCAGAAACTAAATAATTTCATTAATTTATTTAACAGTTCTTTTTTTTAGAATGCAGCCATCCAAACCCGTTTCAATTTGTTGGTATTTATAAAAATATTTATAGTACAAAAAAGTGTGTATCTGTAAGACTTCAGCAACACTGATTATTATGTTTGGGGGTGGTTGGGATTTGTTTGGTTTTTTTTTTTTACCATTGTGGTTGACCGTAACATTTTTAAACTACTGTCATCATGTCAGAACATGTAGAGCTTTAAACTGATGGCGGGTAGCCTTTTCATTGAAATAAAGGCTGTTTGAATCTCTCTTGAAACTCAAGTACTGTCCCAGTAAAATAGAAATTTAGGAGAAGTTTAGTGAGCTGTTTTCTTACTGTTTATTAGCCTTATTTTTTAAGATTGAGGGGAGAAAAACTTTTTGTTACCAAGATACTACAGAAATAGAGGTTGAAATAGTAATTGGTGGTATGCACAAATTAAAAGAAATCCCATGGGGTTTTTTTGGCAGGATGAGTACAAAAATACTGAATCCCAATTCCACAAGGATATCCAGGTAAGATCTACAGAAAGGACAAATTAATTATTTGTTTAGGATAAAACTGAAGCAAGTGTTGATACTGCTTGATCTTGTCTGTGCTTCTGGCTTTGGGATTTAATTTGGTTAGCAGGCTGCCACCTTGCAGTAATACTCCAAGTTCTCTCATTTTCTCAATAATAATCGCTTTTTTTCCTCTGAATGTGCAACTGCACTATACTAAGGAGGATCCAATCACTCTGAGAGTAATTTATTTTATATGTATCTTCTGATACTGTTTTGATGTTTTTGCTTCCAAAACAATGATTGCCATGTAAAGTTCCCAGGAGATTTTCTACGATAGTATTACCTAGATGATACAGTCTCTAATCTGTAACATCTCAAATTAAGTGTTTCAGTGGCTTGTTGACTTTCCAGAAACTTTATATGGACTTGTATTAATAGTTTTCTATATAAGTAAAACCCAAAATTTTGTTATTAGAAGTTTTAAATCTTTAATTTATGGAATTAAAGGGGTTTTTAAATTGATTTTACTAGTCGTTCTCTGGGGAATTTAGAGGTACAGTAACAGTTGATAATTACATCTCTGAGTAGCTAGCCAAAGTAACCTGTGAAATTAATTGTTCATTTATGTGTTTTTCAGTAGAAGGAAAAAGCTTTGGGCCTCTTCCACTCCCACTCTAACCTGCACTGTGTGTTAAATGAGTCAGAGGCTACTTCTGTTCACTGCTACATAAAAAGCAAATATCTTACTGGCATTTCAAGTAATGTTGGGTGTCCTATACCCTGTGCCAAGAGAAACCTGCCTTGTCCTGGAGTGCTCCCTGCCCGGTTGTAGCCAGGGACTGTGCCTTCTCTGACACCACCCCAGGAAATCCCACTCATCTAGAAAAAGTGTTTCATAGAAGTTAGGAAAACTTGGGAAATTACTTATACTATAGATACTCTGGTCTGAGGACACTGGTGCTTGAAGTGTTGATCAGTGCACTAATCTGGCTTTTCCAAATAGCTTTCTTGAACTAAGCTCTTGGTATCATGGAAATGCTGACTTAATTTAACTTGTCAAATTGAGTATTTTGGCCTATGTGATTTAGAGCTTGTGTTTTCCAGACACTGCTAGCATAAAAAAATCATTGGACTATGCTCAGTGATGATACTGTCTCTAGTTTCCCTTGAAATCTTAAGCACTGTCTAGGATGCAGAGCAAGCTGTCTTCTGTGTGCACTGAGGCATTTGTAAAAAGTCCCAAAATACCTGTGAATTGTCAGCCACTCAGGTAAAAGTGAATGCTTTTAGACACTACACTGTCTTAATGCTCAGTTAGTACTGGTGAAAGAATTGGCTTACGCTGATAAGCATTTTGTAGTTGGCCAGCATTAGCACTTTGGGTTGGTAACATTGAACAGAAATAATCATTCCCTTTATTTTTGGATATCTGTGTATAAACTTTGAAGTAAAGAAATGTGTATTTTTGTCATATAGACACAGCAGAGATGGTTGTCTGTATTTCTGCAGTCTGAATTCTCGCTCCAACCACTTACAAATTTAATAGCAAAGCAGAAGAAGTCTGCATGCTGGAAAGTAGCTCACCCGGGCTGAAAAACAGCCTACGCAAGCTATGGAGTGGAGGTACGAGACTCGTGCAAGCTGTCAAGCATCTGTCCCCGGCCTTCTTTTTGTGCTGTGGGAACAGCGAAAGTCAAAGTAGAAACTAAATTTTTTGAGAAAAAAGGCATCCTATTAATTCCCACAGCATAAAACCACCACCAAAACTACTGAAAGGACCGCACTCTCCGAGTCCTCATGTCTTGCTGCTTCTCCCAGATGTTCAACTCAGTTGTTCTTTTCCTTGACTTTCTATTGCTTTCAAGTTGGCAGAAGGGTCCTTTAGCCTCGTAAGAAACATAATCTTGAAGTCTCTGTTCCTTTTACCTCTTAGCATGTGTGTTGTCCCCTACCCAGGTGAAGGGGACTGTGTGCCCAGGTTTTCAGACATCCTGGGGAGAACAGTGTGTTGTGCCTTGAGTCTGTGCGAGCCATTTGTTGCAGCTGGTTAAAACACCCAGTCTGGCTTTCTCCACCCCATGTTTCTACATTTAGCAGTATTTTCCTCTAAAACCACCCTGAGAGGTCTCCAAGTCCAGTTCAGTCAAAGGACTAGACCTCAACATTCATAATAAGGATCCTTTGGCTGACTGAGTTCTTAGGGCACATTCACATTAAAAAGAGGGAACAAGCCATAACAAAAGCCAACTTAGCCTGAGCACAAACGCACTCAACACCTGTGTGATAGGTCCTTCAGTGTCCTACAATTTCCAGGTGCTTTGCATCAACTTATTTTAAAATCTGTTGTTCTTGTTAACTGCCTTATAGGGCCACGTGTTCAAGTGTGCTGTACAAATATTTCTTTATGCAATATATTTTAGCTCTAGCTGAGTGCAAACACAAGGGAAGGTCTGGCTTGTGATTCTCTCAGTCCTCCTGTTCTCTGCTTCTAAAGGTAAGCCTGCGACTGCAGTCTCATCAGCTGGTAAATGCAGTTATAGGGTATGCGAGAGTCCAGTTAAAAGCAAAATATTGCAGCTGCTGACAACATATAACATTGAAAATACAAAAAAAAATCAGTCTGAAAGTTCATTCTAAAAATCTGGAGGCAGGCAATCTATCCCAGCAGGGATACCTTTCCAGCCAAGACATTTTTTTTCACTACTACCTTAAGTTCGTGCTGGATTGCTAATAATCCTCTGCTCTTCTAAGGATGGCGAGAAGCCAGAGTCCCAACAGTGTCCTGTTTTCTGAGCACGATGGTCACACCTGATCTAGAACAAGTGGTTGCTGTTGGGCAGTCCCGCAGCGAGCAGTTCTGCGTGAATGTCCCCGTTGAAGGAGCTCTGCTCTAGAAGGGACACTGAAAGTACTCACTTTAGTGCTAGAAGTGAAGACACAGACCTATAGAAAATCATATGAGAGAAGCACGTTGTTAATTCTTTAATCTAGACTTTTTGCTGTGCTTTCTGCAATGTTTTCCTAAAAGGTAAGTGACTGGAAACTGCTAAGGAGCCAGACCAGCCGTAGCTTCAAAGTAGCTTTATGCCATGTCAATCAGTTTTGTAATTAACTAACTCCCTGTATTGCTGCTTGAATGGTGCCTGCTGGTGCTACTCTGGAGGGAAGAGAGGCAGGACAAAAGCAGTGTAAGGGCAGTCATGGGACTGTGTGGCCGGACATCGCCAGAGCCCACCAGCCTCCTGCTCGTGGTATGAGTTGGTTTTGGCATGAGACAAAGCTGTTGTCAAAGGAGTGCTGAGTTACCAGGGGCTCGGCTGCCCCAGATTGGAGGGGAGGTGGTTTCAGAAACAGTGACAAGGTTGTGGAAATGCTTTAGGTGCCCTGACCCACTGCAGGCAATGTAGGACAACTAAAGCAAAGTAGAAGTCTAATAAAGACAAAATGATAGGGAGTTTTTATACATATCGGCAGATTAATGAGAAATCTCTTTTTTTTTCCAGTCTTAAATCTTGTAAAAGAAAATAAAATTCAAGCTTGTGTTCAGAAATAAGCTTGCTAAGTTATTGCGTCCCTTCCACAAAGGCAAACCCTCTAAAACACCTTCACTTCCATGGAGATGTGAGGTGAGGGGTTCGGGGGGTGAGGTTTGAGGGAGTGGAAGTTGTTGGGTCATCTCCAGCCATTCCATGTTCCTGCTTCTTGCAGAGCTTCTTTCCGTAAGACATTAAAAAAACAAAAAAAAACCAAAAAAACAAAAACAACAACAAACCCAACTTTTTAAATAAACGGCTCTTTTTGTTCTAAGGCCAGCTTTATTTTGTTTTTGTTTTTTATAAATATTTTCTTTCCATTTTCTTTTTGAAATTACCTGTCTGCTATTGCAAACAGCATGGTTATTTCCAGGACTAAATAAGAAGTGCTGTGTAATCCTGTTGCTCCTGCAAAATCTCATTTTCTGAAATCTCTTAGATAGAGAAACTGCTGTCAGCAAACTCATGAGCCTCTCAAGAAAGCTTTGAGCTGTGTGGGTGACTTTGACTTTAGAGCTGGATTGGAGGAATTTGAGAGACAATGCAAAACGGACAAAACAGGGTCTTTTCTATAAGAACCAAATGGAGACACTAGTTTTCATGAGAGTTGTGAGATCTCAGGTCTCTGATGAACAGTCTCACTCTAAAAGATCTTTATATTCTCCTTAAGTTTTCTGTAAGAAATCGGAGATAATTATAGTATGTTAAACTTGGAAGTGCAAGTTCAGGAGTGAACAGGTTGTGTCCATGGAGATTATTCAGCAGTGGTACTCCCAGCACTGCCTGAGCAAACACTCAGCCCCTCAGGGAGGAATTTGATACTGCCAGGGGGGAAAAAATGTGGGAGAGAGGAGGAAAAAAACTTGTGAAGACGTGACTGTGTGTGCAACTTGCTGCCTGAGAGACTTTCTGTATGGATTAGTAGATTTAAACCAAAATTCCTTGCTTATACCTATAGTTTCTGTATTTGCTCAGGGTCTTGCCAGTTAAGGCTTGGAAGAAGCAACCTCCTAAAGCCAAATGCGCTGTGAACACAATCTGAATGTGTCTCCCTTTCATCTTTTCTGCCTGATGTATCTGCCAGTGTTTTAAGTGTTCTGAATACCAGGTAGCTAAAGCTTCTGGCTTTTAAAAGGTTTAGGAGAACGAGGACCGTGGTCAGAGCAGAGTTCAGGGAGGGACACCTTGTCTTGGCAGAGCAGAACCAAACCTCTTGTCCAACACATCTGCTGGGATCCGGTCTGACCTCCTGCTCCTACGTATGAGTTGGGTGTAGCTGCTTGGCAATAGGAAATTGAGGCTCAGACCCAACTCAGCCTCTTCAGCCATTCTCTGAAATAACTGTAAGTAGCGGAAGGACAGAAAAAAACTCAGGAGGAGTGTAACTAAACCCTTGCTCTTGTTAGCAGTCGCTAATGGCTTTATGTAAGTCCTCAGCTTTTTCTCTTAATGGAAGCTGAGTTGCAGAGGAGCCTTCATCTTGGTGATTCCTGTTTTGAAGTGGTGTCCTGGGATAAGGGCTTTTCATTTCTTTTGAAGAGGATACTAGAAGAAAACTCATTAGAGCAAGTGCAGTTACAAATTACTGTGGCTCTTGTGGTTTGACACCAGTTTGGAGAGCGTGATCATGCAACACAGCTTTGCTTTCTGCTTTGCTGTGTGGCACCAGGGTATTTACCAGCCTGAGGCATCCCAAATAGACATGAACTATTTAGCTTTCGGGCTTTATTCCTTGCCTTTTGCCTTGCTGTGTAGTTTGACTGACTTATGAGTCCTACAGATGAGTCCTTTCCAGGCTTCAGTTGTGATGGCCATGTGGCATGGGGTGTGGAAACTGCTCAGCTCCTGGTTTTTGATCGGATGAAAGGGAAATGCAGGAGAGCAAATGCTCATAGAAAAGCCCACCTACAGGTAGGAAATGCGAGAAGAAAGATGAGTCCTGCTGGATACCCAAAATGTTTAACAAACGCAGAGTTCAGGCAGAGTAATGGGATGAGTGAGCTCCCAACTTTGGGGTGCTCTTGCAGAGGAGCATCGCACGGGTGGCAGCTCCTGGGTTCCTCAGTACCAGTGCTACGGCAAATTCCCTGTGAGCAGTGTCTGTGCCAACAGCTCAGACAGCTGGGTTCAAAATCAACTGTGGACTAAGGAATGAAAGCCTGCGGACTGAAATATAACAATAATAGTGATCTGTTGGAAGGGTGGCATCAGATGTGAAAGGTCTCACTGCTTCCAGGTGGAAGTAATGAGTTGTTTCCCTGGCCCAGAGGAAGAAGAGTTAAAACCTTATTTAACATGCAGGTCCTGATTCAGCAGAGCACATAACCATGTATTTTAAGTGTACAGATGCTCTCTGGAGCGTTATGGGAGCTACTCATCTTCTGAAAGCAAAGCATATAATTAAGAGCTGCTCTGAGCTGGGACCACCCCGCTTCTCACAGCATCATGTCCCAGATCTCTGGTGTTTCCCTCGTCCTTCGTGTTTTAGATACCGACCTCCAGCCTGCCTTGGAGAAAAGCCATCGGGCAGGAGGCTGCGGCAGGGCTGCGCGTGTCGAGAGGATGTTTTGAAAGGCACATTGAGAAAGTGGGGTTTGCTGTAAAGACACGGTGAATGGTGTATTTGTGTCAGGGGCAGGAGCGCGACTGGCAGAAGGCGAGGGGAAGGGATGCACTGTACGCTGGGGACCCCGCGTGTGCTGGGCACCTAATAAACCAGTTACAACAAGTGAGTAAATGCCCGTCAGTCCCTCTCGGGCATGCTTGTGGTCAGGAAGTTAATTTTTATGGTCAGCTTGAATTTTGGGTCTGGTGAAAGCAAATGTATCCGATGTTTTCTATACATATGTTTCATACATTGGTTAAAATGTCATTAATAGAACTTTCTTCTGCAGTAGAAGTGATTCTGGGCATTGATGAGAGCAGCACAGTGCATGCATAAAGGCTTTCCCAGTAAATCAGCTAGCACTCTAACCTGGGGTATTACTCCAGCTATCAGGCTGTGGAAAAAAACAGGATTATTCTGGCGCTATTCTTGAATATTTAAATGAAGTACAGTAGGGTAGAATGCAACATGCTTTATCAGGTTCTGAGGCTTTCACCAGCAGAAATTCTTAGACCAAACTCGTGGTGGCTGATAGCCAAAACCAAGCTGTTTTTACTTAAAAATAAATAAGAAATACCTGACTTGATAAAACTTGATTTATTCAAAAAGGGCTCAGATAAACACATTTGAATTTATTCTCGATTTCTACATTAGAATAATTACTTGGAATTACACCAGTTAAATTTGGTTCAGAGGAAGTAAAAGTTGGCCAGGTATTGAGGAATAAAATATTTAAGCCTGTTATCTGGTAGTTTAACTTACTTGAGCATAATAAAACACGGTAACCAAGACAATGACATGGAATTGTTATCAACTGCAATTTTTGTGTAAAAAAGCTTGAAGGCAGGCTCCTGTATATACACATTTTGTTCGTGTGCTTGAGTGCAAGCCTGTATGTGTGTGTAATTGCATTGCAAAATCTCCTCATTTTGATTAAATAAGTTATGTACATATATACACACAGCACCTCTGCTGTACTCTGCATGCTAAGAATGGATCTAGGGGCACAGCTTCTGACACCACTTGAACCCCATTCTTCTGATAGATGATCCACTAGCAAAAACTGGAGCAAAAATAGGGGTTAGGACTCTGTGGATAGCTGCAATTCAGTTGTGTGTTGAGCCGCTGGGGTCAGACAGAAAAAAAGCCCTTTGCCCACTGTTTTTGGGAAATACAAATACTGTTCTGGGATTCGTGCAGTTTGATCTGGAATTGTGCTGTAACTGCAAGTTTACTAGAAATCAGCATCTATAAAATAGCATGTAAGCTAATAAGGTTAAGCAGAAGCTTTTAGGACAAAATCAGATAGCTAATCATTTAAAATGATGGGTTTTGCCAGTGATCAAAGTTGAATCAAACCACAATGATAAAGCATGGTTCTAATTGTGCTGTATTTATATAAAAGAGGAGGAGTGGGCATATTGTGCCTTGAAGCAACTATTTCTATAAAACTCTGTTTTATGGCTTTCAGAAGTTACCTACTTTGTGTACTGAACTCAGAGCACTCTGCTCTCCCTTTTCATTAGTTTACATACTATTAATGATAATTTTTATCTTTCCTTCTCCTCATCCTGATTATTTTGGTTTCATGCCACTGAGAATAATTTCCTTTGTAGCTTAAAGTTGAAAACAAATTCCTTAGGTATTTAGTATTTCACGTAACTGGTAACTTAAAACCTGATTGACGATGCAGTAAAGCATCAAAACACCCTTAACAGAATCACAATCAAAAGTCTAAATAAACATTTTTCATTTTCTCCTGCCTGGCAGGACTCCCACTGCATTACCACGCAGTTTCAGCAGCAGCTAAGAGAAATGGGTCTGGAAAGTAAACTCATATCCTCAGCATGGAGCCGTTAGGTAAATATACTGTGTTTTTTACATTTGATGCTATGGTTTCATAAACATGGGTAACAAGCTCCACCAGATGCCCAAATCAGAGATTATTGTTAATGCAAATAGCCTTGTATGGACACTGAATGAGTGGATGATGACATTTGCATACACAGTGAGCTTAATTTGGAATCATGGGGCAATTTTTTGCACACAACTGTATAAATTTGCTGAAGCATTTTCTCTTTAGTTCATAACAGAGCTTTTTATTTACAGCTATTCTGATTTTGCATACAGCATATTTTTCAGCAATCTTTTCCTACGGAGGGTCACATCCACTCACTGGCACATGGCAGTAACGCCGTATTGCACAGGGTTTCTGGTGCCTGCTACTGTTGTAGTACATAGTTGCTCTCCAGTGTCAGACAGCTTGTGTCCTCCACGGGCTCCTCGCCTCTCTGAGCGATCTGTCGTAAGGAAGAGTAGCAAAAAAAGAATTTTTCAGCTGGCAGTTTATGAAGAGCACAATGAGTGTCACAGTCAAGAGCAGAAAGAAAAACAGAATGATGTAAGTCACCAGGTCTGGCTTATTTATTTCCCCTTCTTTTAACACCCTGGCTGTTGACATGTAAAAAGCGGAGGAGCTCACGGGTCTTGGTGTGCTGCTCAGGTAGGGCGTGTTGGTCTGAATGATAAGGTGAGCTTCAGTGGCGCTGGTTGAATTTAGCAATTCACTATACATGTTCTTGCTTAAATTTCCTCCACAGTAGAAGTAAAGCAAACTCGGTCAGTCTTTGGCATAAGAAAGAAATAATGTTCCTGCTTGTAAAAGGCTGAAAACCAGCCGCATTTTGTCTAAAGGCAAATTAATTCACTTACATGGCTCAGTGACTTTCTTTTAAATCTTCTTGGCTCATATTTACAGCATTCATCCACAAATATTAGTCAAAAATGATACAGGTACCTCGTGTCCTGGCCCTTGTTCCCCCAGCACACCTCTTTTGGGGAAATGCACTGGATCATCTGCTGGTCAACTGGGACGTGCTGGGAGCTCCGGGAGTCTGCTGGGAGCCCCACTCCCCCTGCATGGGAAAAGGCTCTTCCTAACCCAGCTCCGGTGCTGGGAGAGGGGGGAGCCAGGGCTTTGGCTGGCAGCGCTCACTCTCCGTGAAGGGAAGGCACGATGAATTTCCAGCTGATTTTCAGAAGTGGGATGCACGCAAATCCAGGGTTAAATGGCATCTGCAGGGAGAGGCGGCTGCTGCTTTGAGATCCTGCTGAATTTGCTGTCGCGGTTCTCTGCCTCGGGAGGCTCCGTGCTGTTGAAATCCTGGCGCTGTGAAGCAGTAGTTGACTTTCTTAGTCCTAGTTAACGGCACGCTGTGGAGTCAACGTTAGGAGGATGAGCTTTCCAGTCACAGCTTTTGATGAGGAAAAAAAAAAAAAATTTGGTCAATGTCCCTTTGTTTAAAAAAGAATCACCAAAAAACCTTCCCTGTAAATGGAAGGGGGGTTAGTGCCTTGGAAACCTCCTCTCTGTCCTCGGCTCAGCTGAGCTGCGAGGTGGGACTGTGCAGGCTTCTGTCAAACATGACTTTTTCCCCTCGACAGAAGCTTCACCGCAGCATCACTCGCTGCTCCACCGCAGCATCACTGGCTACCGTGGGAAGGGGAGAACTGCGTGGTGGTGCCGACCGGCTCTGCAGCCCGTGGTGCATCTGGCAGTGACAAGATGCTAAAAAGGAAGAGATCTTCTGATGAAACCCCGTGAGTGCCTGGGGCTCTGGCTAGAGGTTTTGAGCTGGGGGAGGGTAGCAGAGAATGGGACAAAAAGAAGAAAATTGCATCAGAACCTGCCATTCTTCTTCAGACCTTTATTGTTAAAATCTAGAGTAATCAGAAAGTGTCTTGTCTCTTTTCTTTTCCCCTTCTATACAGTCCCCAGCACCCTCTCCAGCCTGACAATTATCATGTTAATTTTTTTTTTTTTTTTCATCAAATTGCTTTTATGCTGCTATTAGCTGCTGGCTGCTTGCCAGCTCCCTCTTGCAGTCTCTTGCTCCCATGCATCAGATAAGCACTGTTAATACTTTTATTTTAACACATTGCAACTTGAAAAAGAGGGCAGGGGGCAGAGCTGGGGGCAAGAGGAGCAATGAAGAGAGGAGCACTTGGTAACTGGGCAGAGGAAAGGGTGAAACATAGTCTTCAGTCTCAGGGTGCTGATCCAAGCAAATGTTAAAGCTACTTACGATGAGATATTTCAGCCAACAGTCCCGGGTGGTTAAACGTTTCACTTAGCATAATAAATGTTTCTTCTGGGAGTGGGGGAATGAAGAGAGGAGAAGTCTTCTGGTCTGTTAGATTTAAATAAAATAACATAAAGTCGTTGCTAGAGGGCAACACCCTCTGAGGCCCTGGTCAATGATTTCCCCATCTCCTGCCAAGCTCCAGGTGCCCCAGTTAAGTCCCTTGTGCCTCCAGCAACTCTGCTGGGGTGGTTGAAGGCTGTCATATCCCTGTTCACATCCATCTGCAGCTGCTCTCAGAAAAGCCACTACCTGCGTGTTTACCTCCAAGTCTTGGGGGACCTCTTGAATTCACAAGTTCTTTCTCTAAGCCTTTTAAGCCTTTCCTGATTTTTGTATCTTTTTTTTTTTTTTTTTTCTCTGCCCCCCGACCTTTTTCCTCCCAAGTGAGCTGACTTCCACTTGCTGCTCCCCACCATGGCTGGGGGGGTCTTTCCCTGCCTGTACCTAATGCTCCTCCTGGGGACATGTCTCCTGCCCCCAGAGCCGCAGTAGTTACACCTATTTACTCTGTGCAGGTTCAAAGAACAGGACACCGAGGCAGGCAGCCAGCACGGGGGTTGGAAAAATTAACAGAGTCATAAAAAAAACTAATATAATTTGAAACTGTTTTACCTACCTTGTCCCTTGAAATCAAAGAGTTCGTGAGCAGCAGCACAACACAGATGTCTGGAAGGCTGGATGTCTTCCCAGGACCATCCCGTCTTCAGCTCTCTCCTCCCTGAACTGTTTTTTGAGTTCAACCAAACTTTGCATCCGTTTTTATTTATTTACTTTATTTGTTTTATTAGTCTGTAGGAAAAGCAGGAAGGCATCTGGGGGCTGAGACCTATAAATAGCGCGGACAGTCTTAATGTTTCACATACTTTAGCAAGAAGTTTGTTATAAACAGCTTCTCTGCAAATGTTACCAACTCTGCAGGAGGGGGGAAAAATATGGCAAAGGATGCACATGGATGTCGTAGTGGTGGGTGCGTTTTCTCCTTGCACAGGAGTGTGGTTTTGGCAGCCCCGTGGTGCTCTGCTTGATGGCTTGGCATCAAATTGGGCAGAGGTGGAGAAGGAAGGGCTCTGCAGGTTGGTTCCTCGGTGGCCGTGTGCTCGTCTCCAACCTCCCTCCCTTCCCCGAGCTGTCGGAGGTGTCCCTGGAGGCGGATGGGTGGATGGTCACGTCCACGGGACAGTCACCTCAATGCCAGGAGGGGACAAAGGGGCTGTTTGCTCTGCCAGGTCAGTGCCTCTGTTCGACCTCACGTGGCTGCTTGTCTCTTCCCTGCAAACATGGGGTGCCCCTCTGAGCCTCCTCTTTCCACCCCTGTTCACATGCAGGGTTACACGCAGACACAGAGCCAGAATCTTTATTTCATTTTTTTCCTTTCTGCTCCTACAAATGTTATCTCTCATTCTTGTAAGATTTGTTTCCTGCCCTGAATACACAGTAGTTCAGCTCCAGTGCTAGCGCTTTGGGTCGAGGACTGTTGCTAATGGTCACGGTCCAACCACCCAGTTCTGGGATAAATCCTCCGGGTGTTTTACAAGCGCCCTGTGTGCACACAGGCTCAGGAGTGCATGGGATTCCTCCTGCTTTTTAGCTGCCTGAAGCTGATACAGAAACTGATGAGAAGCCCTGGGAGTAAATCAGATGTGTTTTCTGCAGCACCACATCCAGGCTTAATCTTAAAAAAGCTAAATTGACATAAATAATACCTTAATTTCAAAAATAAGAGCTGATCCTTTCTCTTTGTTCTCCTTAATTTGGAAGAGCATTTAAAGTCTTAAACTTTTTGAATTTTTCCTCTACCTTATTTCTTATTTAGTAGCTTTGTTGTTATTGTTTCTTGTTTTCTTTTTATTTTTTTTCTTCTTTTCCCCAAGCTTTCCAGCATTTAATGACTTGTTTTGTTAGTTTTTTAATGTGCACTGGCACTGGTGCTGCAAGGACAAATACAGAGCCTCTGACACTGGCTGGAGTTTAACAATAATAAACGTTTTAGTGTTGCAACTTCCTGGTGCATTTGGAATCTGGGTCAACATTGCTGTGGCATCGTGGGGCTGGAGAGGGGCTCTGCCTTCTCCTATCCCACCCTCCCCTATGGGTATGTCTCCCTCCAGCTACATCCAAGGGCAAGAAATTTTGTCTGAGAGGTCTTGGAGCCTCCTGGAGCCCCAGCTGACCCCAAGGAATTTATCAGTGGTCGCAGTGACTCAGTGACAGTTCTGGCCCGAGGTTGGCCCAGTTTTGCCATAGTGTGAAATAAATAGTGACATAAACTATTCAGAGCTGAAAGAAGGGAGAACAGAGACTGTGACCCTCAGCACCGCTCCGCTGCTGCTCCCCGGGCTGGCAGGATGATCGTATTTGCTTTAATGATCCTTCAGCCAAGCTACCACCAAACACGATGCAAATCTTAACAGGTGGGAATCACTCGGGGTTCAGCCGTGCTGTGGAAGGCTAGAGCCTTTCCCCATTTCCAGATTGGTAAATAATGCATGATCTCTCTCTTATATGCTTACACAACCCCTACCACGATAAATATCAACTGAGGGAAATGAAAGTGGAAAGAAACATTATCTTTCTGAGTAATGCAACCATTTACAATCTGCGTTACGATACTTCTGCTCTTAGGAGTGAGCAGCAGTCAGGGAGATGTTTCTGTTAGCAGACCAGAATGTAACAAATCACGGGCTGTAACTTTCCAGTGCTGCATAAAAGCAGCCTTTAAAACCATATAGAGGAAAGAAAATAAAAATAATATACAAAGATTATTTCCTTTTTTTAATCACTCCAAAGGAACATAGTTATTTCCAGATACCTGAGAATCAGATATTAAGGACCATATTTTCAAATGCAGAGTCATAAAACTAAGCACTAGACACCTAATCTGGGGATCTTCGGTGCTTAAATATGAGGCTAGATGCCTGAAGAAATTGGCCCAGGTGCAGAGATGTCCTGAAAATATTTTGTTTCAAGAAAGCTTGTGTGTGCTATTTAAAACTACCTTCTAACATTGGGTTTCTTGGGGCACATTTGCTGAAGCAGAAGCATTTAGAAAGTTTCCAGGTAAGTCTGTGAAAAAGGGAGCTTGTGTGCATTTTATCAGGGCTGCATCTGAATCCTTTGTTCTTCACTGGGTTGTGAGGATTGTCATGACTCACCGAGGCATGCTTGATCAGAGGAAATCAGCATCCTGCACCTCCTGCCATCCAGGTAAGCTTTGCCATGGCTAGGGTGCATGTAGGGAAATAACTCTGGCTGCTCGGTGAGCGGTGGCAGCATCCCAGCCTCGCTGCCCTCCCATCACTGGCCCAGAATTCTGCAGCAGCTCAACCGCTTCCAAGGGGTTTTGCAGTGCTCGGAGCTTCAACCCATAGCAAAAGGTTTTGTGTCCTTGTGTGGTAGATCTGTGGATTATCCATGTCCTGAAAAAAAACCCTCACATTTTCTTTTTGCAAAGGCTTGTTTGGTGTATGTAGAAGGGAAATCACTATTTGACAGAGTTTCATGCAGCCAGGAGTGTGTAGGTGGGTGTCCAGTAATGATCCAGGGGATGCAGCATCAGTCCATCCACTCATGTAGAAGGTGAGCGGGAAGGTGTTTTGGAAGTAAAAGCAAAAGGTGTAATTGTAGAGGAAGATTGTCTTTGGTACCTCCTTTACACCTAAAATGATTCCTAGTCATGAGGCACTGGTTTGTGAGCTGAGCTGGGTGTGAAAAGGCATGTAGATGCTGTGTTGGGCTCTGTGACAGCAGGAGAAAAGCTCTGCCCAGGTCATCGGGTGTGTGTCAGCTCAGTCCTCAGGGAGACGAGGCTGCTGCTCCAGGGGCTGCCTAGATGTGTCAGTTTGGGCCCATGCTGGTACTGTCTCCAGCACGACAGTGCTTCCTGGGGCTGGTTCCTGGCCCAGCCTATTGCTAGCCAGGGAGATACGTCCAAAACGAGTTATGTGCATTAACAGGGCTACGTGTTGTAGGCAATGTCTGTATTCCCAGTGTTTAACTCCCATTATTGGGGGTTGAATTTTAGTTAAGAAAAGAAGGGATGAAGTGCTACAACTCACTGTGAGGTGTTAGTTTTGAATACATTTTGCTTTTGGTGCTAGCAATCACTTACCAACCTGCAATACAAATAAAAGGCAATGTCTGTCCCATCCTGAATACACTCTCTGGGCATCAGAAATGGATTTGAAGAGGCTGTGAGAGTAGTGCTTTTCATCTCTCTACTATTCATGTCTCTTCTCAAAGGGAATAGAATGTGTCTTTCTCTGCTGCACAAAAGACATCCCACCTGGATATATAACCCTTCTCCTGCCTGTTCCACAGCTGTGCTGTAAAACTTCATGTTTAACCATGATATCAGCTTCATTGTAGGGAATTCAGACCAGGAGGGGCTGGGGTGTCCCCATCATCTTTTGAGAACCAGTTGGACTCTCAGCTAGAAATCATCTTCTTCTAGTATTGCCCTGCTTTTCCCTAACTTAATTTTGCCAGCATTATGTGTTTGGGATGAGACAAGGGTTGTTCGGGAAGCTTCACAGACCATAACAGGGTTCTTTTATTAGCAGAGCCTGCCTTTATTCATGGATTCTTGCTTGTTCAACTCACTTGTCTGGTGTCAGAAAATTTTCCTCCTTTCTTGCAGGCGTCTGGGCATGGCCTGTCAGTGGGAAGCTGTGCCTGTGTCTATCAGACAGCAGATGATGGGTTGGGTAGACAGGGTTCCTCTTTCTTCTCCGGTTATTGATTTTTTTGCTTTGTCTTTTTAAGGTCCATATTGATTGTAAATTTTGAGGGAAGTCAACACCAAGTAATGAGGGTGAGTTATTAAACCTAAGTGATCTCCTAGACATGTATATGGAAGTTTCTTTTACAGACCAGGGGCACCCCTGCCTCCCTGCATGCATGCCAAGCCTGGATATCTCTCTGAGCAGGTTCTGTATAACAGGGTGTCTATTTTGCAATCCTCTTCCCAGTTTGAAAAATGGACTTGATAATACTTCCTTTCCCTGCAAAAATCTGGAGGATTAATTACT